CAGGAGAGAGAGAGCAGGGAGGGAAATGAAATGGAAGGGTGGGGACTAAATATTTTAGGGCATTTTCTGGTGGCTCTCCGGTGGTCTAGGCCGCTAGAAAAAAGTTCACTTAACAGCAGCGGTTTTAGCCGCCGGTAAAGTGCCCGTAAGATTTAATGCCGGCCGTTTAGCCAGCGGTTTTGTGACTAGCGCTTCTTCCGGTGGCATTAACTTACATAACCACCAGTTAGACCACCGGTAAAATATGACGGCTAAACCACTGTTATTACCGGTGGCTTGATAACCACTGGTTCAGACCGCCGATAATCGTTGAATTTCCTGTAGTGAGATAAGATTATAAGGAGTCGCCATAGATAGTTTAGTCATATATAAGCTCATTTTATGTGGTTGAAGTGGAGGAATGCATGGGGCCTTTCATATGATTGAAAAATTCCCCTTAAACTTTATGGTGCAGAATGTTGGACATTTAAAAAGAAGCATAATATTAAGTTAGGTGTTGCAGATATGAGGATATTCTGGCATATTAAGTAACATTATTTAAAACTAAAGAGTTTGAACTACGGTTAGCTCATTACCATTATCCAATGGGTCTTAAGAATCATTCTTGGGCTTAATTTATTTGTTGGGAGTTCTAGAAGAATCCCTTCAATTGGGGAGTTTTGGATTGCGAGCTAGAGTGCCTAGATGGAGTTTGGGTTAGGTGTGGCTGGAAACTCACCATCAAAAGCTTGAAACTATCAGATTGATTAAACTTGGAAAGTATGTGGGAGTTTGTGTAGAGGCAAAATGAAACAATTAGACATATATAGAGTGTGTAGCTTGGAATGAGTGTTTTGATCCATTGAGCTCAATTTAAAACCTAAGATGGTCATGGATAGTTAAGATTAATTTGGAAGCTTGTTAGCATGCTTGATAGCTGTCTAGGGTAGCTAGGAAGGGCAGGGGATGATCAAACAAATGATAAAAACTAGTAAAGATCATTTTGTCCTCATATGCATATGGGTTCATTAGAGATGGTTTAGATTTATCTAAAGCTTAAACTAAGTTTAGAGAGTGCATAAGAAGATTAAAAGAGATTTAAACATTTAAAT